CTACAGACCTTATTCAAATTTCACCAGTTATTAATGACCTCTTCTGCTCCAGGATCCAATCTAAGATCCCATATTGCATTTAGTTGTTATGGCTCCTTAATATCCTCCAATCTGTGACAGGTCCTCAGTCTTATCTTTCATGATCTTCACACTTTGGATGAATACTGGTCAATTATTCGTATTTGGCATATTCTCTCAATTTGAATTTGTCTGATGTTTTCTCATGATTGTATTGAGGTTATTCATTTTTACATAACTGTGATCTGTGTCCTCCACAGTGTACTGGATTGAGGTATTAATATATTGTATTGTTGGTGGTGTTAATTCTGACCTCTTAGTTAAGGTGATATCTGCTAAGTTTCTCAACTATAAATATAGCAAGCAGGCAACTAAGCTAACTACCCCATTTTGACCAAAAGTTATTGCTCTGGATTAATTAGTTATTGTTTTTCATTCACTCCATCTAAAACAAAAGGAAAAGACTTTATTTGCCGGGAGCCGGTCCATGCTTGCTGTTTCAAGGGACCTGGCATATATGGCATACTGTTCTTAATATGTTTGCTCACCTTCTTGGCACTATGTGTTTGAACCAAGGTCTCTGAGAAAGGTTGTTTCCCCAGGTAGGGATTTTCCCCTGAAGTTAGGGAGGGAATAAAACCTCTTAACTAAGTGCCAGGTGGGTAATTAATCACTTTAACTACGAACAATCATGCTTAAGCTACATAATCTTTACTCCCTGGAATGGAGATAAGAAACGCCCTAACCTTTGAAATAGAGATTGATAGGATTGGAATCAACTGGTATAAATACAGATGTAAGAGAGACGGAACCTAGGCACAGAACCTACACAGAACGTTCTCTAGAGACAGAAGAACTTCGCTGGAGAGAACATGGCAAAAGTTCCTGGACAGAAACTGGCCTCAGAACCTAGAGACAGAACCTAGCGAGAGAACATGGCAAAAGATCCTGGACTGAACCTGACTACAGAAATTGGCAAGAGAACCTGACTAGAACCTGGTGACTGAATCTGGCTGGAGAACCTGGACAGAACCTGGCTGGAGAACCTAGCGAGGGAACATGGCTACAGAACCTGGCTGGAGAACCTGGAGAACCTAGCAAGAGAACATGGACACAGAACCTAGCTGGAGATCCTAAGCAGAACCTCTCTGGAGATCCAGACCAGAACTTGGCTGGAGATCCTGGCTGGAGATCCTGGCTAGGCTGCTGATCAACTGAACGCTGTCTCCGTGTCCTTCCTTCTTTGCCGACTCCGTCTACGCCTTTGGGAACCCCTGGACCCGCTGGGGTTGGACCCCAGCATTTATTCTCTCTGAAAACTTCTAAGTAGTTCACCAGGGCAACAGGACTCTCAGCATGCTTAGATCTATACAGCCTGGGATCTAATACACAGGGTTTACGTTTATTGCACCTTTTGTCAAATAAGACTGAAAATTTGGCAAGCAGCTAGCAATGGCCTAATGTTTGAATCCTAATTTAGACAAAAGTGTGGGTACCACCCTGAGGAGAAAAGAATTCATATACAAATGCGTCAGCCCCATAGCCTATATCATCATCTCCATCTGAATCAACACTTCTTGCCTCCCAGCAATAAATGCCCATATCAGCCAGGACACCAATTATGTTCACCTTCCCTAAGCTAGAATGAACATCTGGGTTCCATGATCTGAAGAGGGAGCTCAAACTTGGACACTTTGTAAATAGAAAGGGCAGCTCATTTCACTACAAGAGGTAGCCCTGAATAGACCAAAGTGACTGCCAGGGCTGGAAGGCCCCTAGGAGGTCTAAACATTAAAGAATTGACAAATTGGAAAACTGAAAAGAAGGAAAGAAGAGATGAAGAACGTGTCAAGTTAGAAACAAGAGGAGAGCATATAAGGAGTAAGAGTGGCTGAAATGTCCTAAGTCAGTGGTCGGCAAACTCATTAGTCAACAGAGCCAAATATCAACAGTACAACGATTGAAATTTCTTTTGAGAGCCAAATTTTTTAAACTTAAACTATATAGGTAGGTACATTGTTATTAACTTAATTAGGGTACTCCTAAGCTGGCCTTTGCTAAAAACGTCCTCAATCTGATTGAGGTCCATTCGCTGAGGTCGACCCCTTCCAACTCTCCCATCCACACTCGTCTTGCATACTTGTTTCATCTATCTTTTGTCACCCGCACGCGATTTGCAGACGCGACTAGCACTAACCACTGCACAATGAGACTGCTGACTGACTGGCTCACTCAACTCGTGCATGAATCGTGCGTGCCTCCCCGGCGCTGCGTGTCCTACACCACGTTTCCCGTAGCCTGACCGACCGACAGCCCCCACTTCTTCTAATGCCACTTCTTCAAAATAGACTCGCCCAGGCCGAAAACCGACTTCTGCGCATGGGCCACGAAGTTTCAATCGCACTGTACTGTGTGCCCGCACGTGGTATTTTGTGGAAGAGCCACCTTCAAGGGGCCAAAGAGCCACAGGTGGCTCGCGAGCAGCGGTGTGCCGACCACTGTTCTAAGTGCATTGTAAACTCAACAACCTTTAAGGTAGGTACTACCATTGCCCCATTACACAGAGGGAAAAATGGAGGCACTAAAAGGGTAAATAACCTGTTCAAGGTCACAGGTAAGAGGCCGGTCCAGGACATGATCCTAGGAGTTTCACGTAGGCACTAATGCCCTTTAAATATTACATATACTGCCTCCATTAGAAGTTCATGTGCATGGTCGGCAAGTTTCACCAATTACCTCTGGTACCATCCAAGACACTATTTGTTATCTTAAGTTGCACTGCCTTAGTATGAAAACTGGCCTTAAATATGCCTTGTGCTTTTATGTTTGTGCTTTTCCCCCAGGACAACATCACAGTCTAATAGTGCTTATTAAATATTCTCATGTTCATGCACAACCTAAATGAGATCTGATTATTAACGTCCAAGCTATTACAGAGAAACCAAGGAAAAAAGAATAATGATTTCCCTCATCCCATTCAGATAAGCTGGCCTGCTATTTGCTTTAGGGAACTATGTGACCTGCTCTGACTATAAAACAGCTTTCTTATGGCTGATGAGAAAATTTCCACACAGCTGACACTAAAAAGGTTTGCAGACTGGAATAAATCAATCTTGCCAGCCTTGGAACTTTCCAAATATATTATTCAGATTGACAGTGTCAGGAAGGTCAAGAAAAGCACAAATCTCCTTCCCTGAGGATGAGTGCCTTTAAACATGAGCAGTCTCCAGCGTTTAGTCTTTTAATTCTTTAGAGTAGGATCTACTCTTGGGACATGAGCTTCATGTTTCCTCTCACTCTGCTCTTTCATCTGTTGATGGTGTGTACTTTGGAGGATCCCCAGGGCCTTTTCCAACTTCTGCAGAAGTCTAAAGGACCGAGAGGATTTGGCTTGGATATGTGTGGCCTGGAAACAAATGAGATTATAAAGAGCTTTACAAAGACAAGAAGCCCAGACTTACAGAGACAGGGTCTCTGACTAGGAAATCAGAAATGGCCCTATGCGCCATTTCATCTGGGTCTAAAAGTCCTTCATCAGGAGACCAAACTATAACACAGTAATATCAATACACACCCAATGATGTCCCAGAAAGTAGGTTTTAATGAGAACAAGTGCTTACAGTTGGAAAAAGAATCCTTAAGTAAGTCAGAGGTCACAAAAAGGATTACTTAGAGACACTAGCCCAAAGCTCAGAAAGAAGCAATTCGATTTTCCAGGGATGGATTTACAGAGCAGCAAGAATGGAAAGGAGGGAGTGGGAGTAATTGTGATAAATATCCAACAAACATCATAGATATTCCACATTTTGAATTATATTCTAGCTAATCTGCAGTCTCAAGGGATTTTGACAGAAAACAAAGGTATTAAAGGTAGGAAATGATGTCATCTCTTTATTGAAAAGACAACACAGGTTTGTTATATTGAAAGGCATCAAATAATAATAATAAAATAACAATAACAGTAACCCAACACAGAGCTGATTACGTGGGAGGCAAGCTCAAAACCTATAAACTCACTTGTATTTCCTCTTCTAACCCCCACACAACCATTTGGGGTAGGTCCTTTAATTTCAGTCAGTAGGTCCTATTATTTCATTAAAGATGAGAACAGGTTTAACTTTGCACTTCTCTCCTGTCACATTTTAAAACACAAGCTCATTGAGTTTGTTAGTTTTACTTTTTGTCAAAAATCAGAATAACTGGATGCTCTTAACTACCTTAAAGAGTTATTTGGAAGATCAATAATATAGTACAGGCAAATGTCTCCTATTTTACAGCAAAAGACATTACACTTACTTGGGGGCAGGTCGTTTAATTAGCTTCAATGTTCTTACTCAGCATGCGTGCAAATCATAGTTGCTCTTTTAGTGAAAGTATAGAGTTCATGGAGCGTGTTTCACTGAGAACCCTGAGTTCCCAAGTCTGTGAGCAAAATGAAGACATGCAAGAAAGTTCTTAACTCCCTGCCCAAGACAGAGATACCAAAGCTAAACAGAAAATGTGATGATTCTTTATCACCCATCTTAAAAACATGTGTTTGCTTCCTATTTGTAAGTGAACAACCCAATGATAACTTCTTTCTTTTGATAGTGAATTAAGAATAACATACAGAATTATGGCTATTTAATGTTTGAAGACTTCTGGACATCCTCATGAAAAGCTAAGGATGTTTCCTCTTTTCTTCTATTGTAGGCACTTATGAAATTACAAAAGACACAGGATAGAAAATCTAATAATAAAAGCAAGAATCTCACTGTTTGGACTATGCAAGGAATTCCATTATTCTTTAAGGATTAATGTAACATAATGATTGGTCATATAAAGAACCGACATTTGTATTGTGCAAATAAAAGTAATCATTATAGTGCCTTCATTTTGAGTTCTTCAAACCAGAATCTTAGAAGAAAAGGCCCAGATAAGATCCAATAATACTCGCTGCTAGACTAGAAGTGACCCATCCTACTAGTACTATGGTCGATTACCTTAGGAGTGGAGTTCAGCCAGCCAGCTGTACCGGAGACCCTCAACAGGGGTTCAAATAGCTCTGGGGCTTTAATAAAAAAAGAAAAAGATACACTTAAAAACCCCTAAGTGGCCAATAAACATGGAAGAGATGCTAATACTCATTCATAACTAGAAAAATGAAAGTGTGTTCGATTGGCACAAAATCATTGCTGGCAAGGATGTGCAGCAACAGGAATTCCATACTAGTTAGTGGGAGTGTAAGTTGGTGCAACTACTTTGCAGACAATCTGGTAGTCTCTGAAAAAACTGAAAATGTCCACAACCTATTGCTTAGCAATCCCGCCCACAGATGCAGACCTTAAATTAACTTTCACACACATATATATACAAGGAACTATATATAAGAATATTTTTGTAGCAGAATCATTTTGAATTAGAAATAGCCTAAATATCAGCAAGAGAATAGTGAAATGTAGTATAAATTAAAGCTAAATAACAGTGGAAATGAATGAAATGAAGCAACATATACAGCAACAAGGATAAATATCAAACAAAACTGAATGGAATAAAAGCAAATTAAGAAAGATACATTTTACATGATACTTTTTATATAATGTTTAATATATGTACAATGATACCATATAATGTTTGGTAATACATTCATTTTTTACATAAAATTATTATCCTATATAATAAAAAGCTAATATGCAAATAGACCGAATGGTGGAACAACCAGTCGCTATGATACGCACTGACCACCAGGAGGAAGATACTCAATGCAGGAGCTGCCCCCTGGTGGTTAGTGTGCTCCCACAGGGGGACCGCTGCTCAGCCAGAAGCCGGGCTCATGGCTGGCAAGTGCAGCAGTGGTGGCAGGAGCCTCTCCCACCTTTGCGGCAGTGCTAAGGACTGTGAGAGGGCGCAGGCTGGGCTGAGGGGGGGACCCTCCCCCAGTGCACAAATGTCGTGCACCGAGCCTCTAGAACCTGCTTCCCTATTTATAATGGTCTGGCCCTCTAGCAACTTCAGCGCGAAATTATAGCTAATTTGCCTACAAACATCAGTTGGTCATAATAATCTGGCCACTCAGTGTACATGAAAGTTAAATGTCAAATTCAGGATAGTACTTACCTCTGGGGGATGGGAGGGAAATATGACCAGAGAAGGGACTTTAATTCAATTTGTAATATTTTAATAGCTTAAAGTGGTGATTATGTTATTCTTTATGTCTTTTTGTACGTGAAAAATATTTTTAACATAAAAAAAGAAAGGACAAGAGAGAGGAAAGAAAAACAGGTCGCTTCTCAAAATCAGTTTTGCCAAAACAACAGAACTTGATTATATACAGATACAACCTTGGGAAGAAAAGGGGTTGGGCCTGGCCTCAAACCAGGAAGAGAGAGACCAGGTTTCTAGGTATGGCTATGCCAATAATTACCCATGAGCCCCTGGATGAGCCCACCCCGAGATGAATCCTCTAAGCACTCCAGGGGTTAGTTTCCTCCTCGATATATCAGGCGGCTGCAAGAGATGTTGTCTAAGGTCCTTCCGGATCTAAAAGTCCATGGTTTTGTACTGTAGCCCCACCTCCTCACTGGCAACTGGCAACAGAGGGGCTAAACCATACTTTGGTAAGCTCATTTGTAATCCAAATGATGGTTTTAAAACTTGCATTTACCTATTTAATTATAAAATATTATCTTTTTATTCTCTTGCTCATACCTGGTTCATGTACTAGTTTGCTAGGGCTTCTATAATGGAGTACCACCAGTCTGGGTGGTTTAAATAACAGAAATTAAGATTAAAAATGGCGACAGAGTAAGGGGATGCTGCACAGACATGCTCCCAGGAAGAAATGGGAATTACAACTAAAATACAGAAAAACTTCCGAGATAACCAACGGGAAACTCCCAGGAGAGAACCCTGATACCCAAGGACTGAAAGTGAAGACCGCACAGAGACTGGCAGGAGACGGGGAGGCATGAAAGGGCTGGCTGGGTGCCCACAGACAGCAACTGAAGTCCTGGAGAACTCTGGGATCTAATCCCCACGCTGGGCCCCCCAGCAGAGAGCACCAAAACTGAGAAGGGTACCCACATAACATCTGGCTGTGAAAAGAAACGGGGTGCTGTCTGCCAGGGAGTGACAGCTGAACATTCAGGTACCCTCTTAAAGGGCCAACACACAAAATTCCCTGTGGAGCCATCCACCTTGTGTTCCAGGAGAGGGAGGGTGAAGTGGACTGGAGCTGTGAGAGCAGAAGCCAGGACTGGGGCCTCGGGGGATAGAGTTCAGAAGGCAGACACCCCAAGTTTCCTGGGTTGAATCATTCCCTCATGCCACGGAGGACATCTTTCCCACACAGATATTTGCGCCCTGCCTGGGGGGAAGACAGTGGACACACCCTACTGGAAAACACCTTGCCCTAAGGCCACTTAAGAGATTAAAAATAACAGCCTCCAGGCAGAATCAACTGCCCCAACTTGTTGAAAAAACTCTCGCCACACCTGAGGACGGTTGCCTGGGGGCAATTCAAGTCGGAATTCTATCAGTCTATAGCCAGAGGCGGTCTCTGGAGGCTTTGAGTTTTGCCTGATCCAATTAGTCAGAAACAGCCTTTAACACTGTCTGGCACTAGAGATTGAGAGGTGTAGGGGGTCTACCTAATACACAGTCACAAACCCAAACAGAAAGCCAAAATAAGGAGGCAAAGAACAACCTCCAAATGAAAGAACTAGAGAATTCTCCAGAAGAAGAGATAAATGAAGCAGAGATAAGAAATTTATCTGAAACAAAGTTCAGAGTAATGATGGTAAAGAAGCTCAACAGCATGAAAAAAGATATAGTAACTATGAAAAAAGAAAAGTCTGAGATAAAGAATGACATAACACAAATAAAGAACACATTGGAAGGAATACACAGCAGATTAGGAGAAGCTGAGGATCCAATCAGTGAAATTAGAAGACAGAGTTGAAAATATTACTCAGAGAACCAAAAAGAAAAAACAATTAAATAATAGACATTATTGTCTCAGAATTCTGTAGGCTGAAGTTCAAAATCAAGATGTTAGTAGTGTTGGTTTCTTCTGAAGGCCCCTCTCTTGACTTGTAGATGGCCAGTTTTTCCATGTGTTTTAACAGTATCTTCCATCTGTGTATGTCTGTGTCCAACTTTCCTCTTCCTAAAAGGATACCTGTCATATAGGAGTGGGCTTCCCCCCCACTAATAACTTCATTTTAACTAAAGTACCTCTTTGAAGACCCTATCTCCAAATACAGTTATGTTCTGAGATACCAGGGGGTAGGCCTTCAACATATCAATTTTGGTGGGGACACAATTCAACCCATAACAATAGAAAAGCCCTAAATCTTCATACCAATAGGCTTATGGAGGAAGGAAGCAGAATTAATTACTAATTTAAATTTATCAATCACTCTAATTCTATAACTGTTTACTTATCACCAAAATGTCATGCTTTTTCATAATTAACCTAGGACATTCTGTGTGTAGGGCTGCTTAAAACTGAGTAAATACATTATTAAATTTAGCTTTTAGGCTATTCAAGCAAGGTTAATATTTTCTGAAGTTGAAATTAAATGATGATGTTTTTTTCCTTTAACAAAAACTCATTCATTTTCTAGAAATAATTTGGTTAGAAAAACACCACACAACTAGTTTCCAAGGACTAACACCTGCGCCAAAAATGACATATATATGATTTCTCCAGCATATTATTTCAGTAGGCTCTGCTCATTGAGAGAAATTGCCACTTCGGAGTTGATCCGTAGCAACACATACGGTATTGTATGATGTACAGTTGGCCAGGTTGTCCCACTTCCAACATGCTACTCACTCAATTTAGCCCAGTGAGTGACAAATCAAACCCTGTTGGCTTGGCCTGCGGAAGTCTCACTGTCTGCTAACCCACACAGAGCTGCCTTTCTTGAGCCTGTAAGTCAGAGGAATGAGAGCCAGGAATCATTAGGGAAAAACCGTCAAAGGACACTGGGAATCATGGAAACTGGCCATTTTGGAACAGTCAATATGCCAAAACCTGAAATGCCCCATGTGGGCAGCCAACAGATATTCTTCCTTAAGCCAGAGACACATCTATTTTTAAGTTGGGGAAATTTGTGGTTTCGGCCAAGTCATACCTTTCACCAACGGCAGGTGACTACATCATCAGGGCATGTCCCCAAAGCACAGGTATTTATAAGTCCAACTTCATTTGAAAAAATAAAGGAGCCAGAGGAAACAGAACATCAAATACTAATATCAGATCCTACCCCTAAAAAACGGTACGGACTTGAATAAGGTAGTCACCAGCAGACAGATACAAGTTCAGCCTACCCAAAGTCTTCCATGTTGACTCTAAAGGTGCCTACAATACCTCTACCTTCAAGTGAAAGTAAATAGCCACCCATTCCTCAAGGAATAGTCACCAAATCTACACAAATGCTGTTTCTAATGTAATTAACACTCTGGAATCCAGCAGAGTTCATTCTGTTTACCTCACTAAGGAATAACTACTGGGGGCAGGGTCAAGTTAAATGTGGAGGTCTCCTGGGAAAGAAGCTGTTGACTCCAGAGAATTACCCTGTTGATACCTCGAGTTCTTGTTATTATTAAGAGGAAGAAGTGTTAATTATATCAGTTATTAAAAATGAAGCAGTCATGCTCTAAATCAGTGACAACTAAAATTATTCTTAAAGAGTAAGTCACAATAAGCCTCAGTATTAATATTCTTTTTAAAGTTGACCACACTTTGTAGAATTTCCCATGACTAAAATATTATTTACTTACATTTTTGCATAAGTAGCACAAGTATATGTATATATAAGGAGTTAGCCTTAAGCTTATGTCATCCTATGTGAAAATAAAAAGCTTCCATTTTTCCCCAAAAATTTAATTTATGAAAAATCAAGGCAGATTTTACCTCCTGTCCATAGCAGCATCTAACACACTGCGCCACCAGAAAACCTTAAGTCCTTCATGCTTTTCACAGAGTGCCAGCTACTTTCACTTCAATTTCAAAGTAGCTTTACAATGCACTCTCATGTGCTGCAGTAAGATATTCATCAAGTC